GGCCGTTACTCAATAACACGAATCAGTTTTTTCAATTTTGATTGGTCAATCAGAAAACAAAGCACTCAATAAGGTATATATAATGATATATGTTTATAAACAATCTTTCGGACTTTTTTGACCAAACCATATCATGTCTCAAGGACCGTTCGGAAATTATATAAATATAATCAGTGACATCCAAAAGTTTAATAATAAAATAATCGAAATTGAAGATGAAGCTAATCATTGTAAAAATGTAAGCCGCACTCTTGTAGAGAGGGTTACTAATGCAAATAACTATGTAAAGGAATTGGAATTATGTAAAGATGAAAATAGCGAGTTTTTAGCCAAATCAGGAACTTTTCAAAAATTTAATGAGTTAAGGAATATCGTCGCTCAGATTGTAAGCTTTGTTGAGAGAATTTCACGAATTGAAGGGTTAGCCACTTTCAAATCTACTAACGAAATTAAGCAACAAATTAAACAACAATTTTGTGAACTAGTTGAAAAATTTGATAAATATTCAGAAGAGCTAAAATTTGCATCAAAGAATTCGAACGATAATTTTGCATTAGAACATGATCTTGCTGAAATAGACAAGGTAAGTTATGCTCATTTATACCATTTAATTTATTTATGCATGAATAGTTTATATAAGTTTTTTTTACCATACTTAGTAATTTACATACTAACGTTAATAATCATAAAAGTTTTTTAAAAATAATCCGCACATAATAGATGAAAACGGTCAGATATCACAAACGATTCCTTTGATTGTACAATTAACTGAAGAATTTAATAAGCAATTATTGAACGATAAAATAAAAATTATTCGGCCTTTATCAAAAACTCAGTCATTGGATAGTCTTAAGGTAGAGACATTCGAATTAATTGGATATAAAATGTCATCAGATGAAATTCGCGGACAACATATTCGAAAGTGGTCAAAAATTTCTGATCCTAATAAAGTCATTGCCGTTAAGGAAGTAAATATAGGTGAACATCCCGATATTTCGTCGATAGAGCAAATTAAAAAACAAATAGAAATTCTTAAAATGCTTCAATGTCTACCGCAAGTTATTAAATTTTACGGAACATTTACTCAGCATTCTAAATTGCATATT